GGGAGGGGGGAGGGAGGGAAAGAAAAAGAAAGGGAAGGAGGGAAGAGAAAAGAGAACAAGGAAGGAAAAAAGGGAGGAGGGAAGGAAAAATAAGGAAAGAGGGGAAGGGAAAAGGAAGGAGAAGGAAGAGGGAAGTGGGGAGGGAGGGAAAGAAAAAGAAAGGGAAGGAGGGAAAAGAAAAGAGAACAAGGAAGGAAAAAAGAGAGGAGGGAAGGAAAAATAAGGAAAGAGGGGAAGGGAGAAGGAAGGAGAAGGAAGAGGGAGGAAGGGAGGGAAGGAAGGAAGGAAGGAAGGAAGGAAGATGTAGAAGGAAGGAAGGAAGGTTATAATGAGAGTGAGGGTGGGTCTGAGGAAAGTCTTGCCTTAGAATTTGGCCACCATAGTGATGTCAAACTGGCCACACCCACCCTGGCCATGCCTACCCCAGCCACGCCTACCTCAGTCCCCCCCCCCCCCCCCCCCAGGTCAAACACAACCCTGATATGGCCCTCAATGAAATAGAGTTTGATACCCCTGACACAACACAATTCTCAAGTCCAGGAAAACACCAAGTAAACATGCATTTCTCTGTCTTTAAAACCGTAAGTACGCATTTATTTATTTTTATGTTTTACATGTATTTATCTCAATTATTATTATAACTGCCTTGTCATCTGCAGGGAGGACGGAAAAAAAGGTCCTTCTACCTCACTCCGGGATTTGAGTGTACTCCGTTTTGGTCTCAGGAGGACATCCTTGAAGTCCAATTTAATGTCATTATCTATGTGGGGCATCTTGGATCCCTGTAAATTAAATAAAAAAAAATTAAAGCGAAGTCCTGAAATTCGGGAACACCAAAGACAAAATCCCAACTTTTTCTTCTCTAAACCTTTTTCCTGACAGTGAGAACAATTAATCAGTGGAACTGCCTGCCACCAGAAGTTGTGAATGCTCCAACACTGGAAGTTTTTAAGAAGAGATTGGACAGCCATTTGTCTGAAATGATATAGGGTCTCTTGCTTGAGCAGGGGGCTGGACTAGAAGACCTCCAAGGTTCCTTCCAACTCTGATTCCATTCTGTTCTGTTCCATATTCTATTCTGTTCTTTCCATTCCATATTCTGTTCTGTTCTAATCTAATCTTAAATTATCTCCAATGCAAATTATTTTCCTTTGGTCATCCCAAAGGAGCTTTTTCAAAGGTCAATTTGACTCTTTGTTTTGCTTTGAAGATGTTTTACTTCTCATTCAAGAAGCTTTCTCAGTTCTGACCGAGTGGTGGAGGATGGAAGGATTTATATTCTTTTGCAGTCATCTGTTCGTTAGTACCCTGTCTGAGAGTTGTTGAGTCCATTTGGAGGTTTATGTCTACCCTCAGGGTCACCCAAATACAGGTACTCCTCGACTTACAACAGTTCATTTAGTGACCATTCAAAGTTACAACGTCACTGAGTGAGTTATGACCATTTTTCACACTTACGACTTTTGCAGCATCCCGTGATCATGTGATCAAAATTCAGATGCTTGGCAACTGATTCATACTTATGACGTGAAGGTCATGTGATCCCCTTCTGTGACCTTCTGACAAGCAATGGGGAAGCCAGACTCACTTAACAACCATGCTACTAATTTATCAACTGCAGTTATTCACTTAACAACTTTGGCAAGAAAGGTCGTATAAAATGGAACAAAACTCACTTCGCAAACAACTCATTTACCATCAGAAATTCTGGACTCAATTGTGCTCGTCAGTCGAGGACTACCTGAAATGGGTGTGAAGTGAAATGTCTTGAAGGAAATATAAAAAGTCCAGTTACCTTTTGAAAAAAAAAGACCTTTGGGATGAATCTCCATAGATCTTCTCAATGGTGTTTGTAAGACTTTATTGCTCAAGGTAGTTAATGATAATTTTCAAATTACACTTTTAACTTTGTCACACTTTCAGTTCTCTTACCCTCTGTCAACTGTGTTGCTTTCAGGAACCGAAAGTTGCTGCCAATAAATGTTTATGACCTCCGTGTCAACATCTTCCTCTACTTCTGCATGGCCATTCCCGCCATTCTAAACAAAACAAATAAAACAAATAAAATTGAATTGAATTTCAAAAGTCCAGCTTTATCGCAAGTGAGTATCTCTCTTTCCCATAAATCCTTTATCATCCTAATCTCCAATCTCTTAAAACCGCCGTTACTTCAATGCACACAGTCATGAGATACAGATCCTCTGCCCGTCGTGCTAAGACTTCCTCTGCTCATGCTAAGAGTTCCACGGAACGCAATCGCTTCGTCCCAAACCGGGAAGCTTCAGAGCCACCTCTCTGGGTGGGCTTGGACCACTTAAGTCTCTTTGAACAGCTCTTCGATCCAGGGAAGCCTTGGTTGGTTGGTTGGATTACAACTCTCATGTGCCCCAGCCAGCACAGCCCATGGGAACTGTAGTCCTCAACTACCTGGAGGGCATGAGATTGGGGAATGCCAAATTAGCCAGTGTGTATCAACCTTGGACATTTAAAGGTGGGTGGACTTCAATTCCCAGAATTCCCCAGCCAGGCATACTGGCTGGGGAATTCTGGGAATTGAAGTTCACCTATCTTCAAGTTGCAAAATTGGGAAACACTGGGCTTAAGCCATGCCAGCCTTGCACCCCAACCCAGAATCCCCAGTTTGGACCTCAAAGCTGGCATCATACCCCAATTGACCAATTTTTAGAATGCGGGGTACATAAGGGGGTACACAAACCCCACTTCCGGTTCGCTTCCCGCCCGCTTCCGGTCTTTTGGCGCTCCCCGAGTGGGGGATAGAAGCGACCACGATCCGCTCTCGGCTTCCAAAGTCTCCGCTAAGCCCTTGAAGCTGGCTGCCGTTCGCTTTTAACGGAGGAGCAATGCCTTATGGGAAACGTAGTTCTTCCTCTAAGTGTCTACAAAGCCCACAAAGGGTTGTTATAACTACAGCTCCCACAAGGGAGCGCGCTCAAACGGGATGACGTCACGCGAAGAGGAAAACGCTAATCACCCTACTACTTCACAACATTTTATTATTTTTATTTATTTGATTTGCCAATTGTTTACAAGATAATAAGTATAAATGTATACATAGTTGTGAATACATGAAATGGGTACATATAAGAAAAATAAAAGAATAAGAGAAACAATAGGACAGGGACGGTAGGCACGTTGGTGCGCTTATGCACGCCCCCTACAGACTTCTTAGGAAAGGGGTGAGGTCAATAGTAGACAGTCTAAGGTTAAAGTTTTTGGGGTTTGGGGAAGAAACTACAGAGTCGGGTAGAGGATTCCAGACATTGACCACTCTATTGCTGAAGTCGTATTTCCTGCAATCAAGTTTGGTGCGGTTAACTTTGAGTTTGTATCTATTGTGTGCTCTTGTGTTGTTATGGTTGAAGCTGAAGTATTCATTGACAGGTAGGACATTGCAAGCCTCCTATCAAAAAGAAGAGCCGTGACAGAATCGCGGGGCATGCTGGGAAACGGAGTCCCCGCTCCATTCAAATCATGGCGGCCCTAGTGAGGGGGAAAAAAAAAAAACAGTGTCTCCCATAATGCAGCGCGACAGCGGCGGAAGAATATCTAAAGCATTCTCTCCTGGGATTTGATTTATGACTTTTTTAAAAATAATACGGAAGTGGCGTCACAAGTGTCAGGAAACAATCCGTCCGGAGCGAGGAAGCCAGTTCCTTTTCCGAGGTCGGAGGTTGGGCGGCGCTGAGGCACCGGGGCGGGCGGGCGAGCGAGCGAGCGAGCTAAGCGGCCACGATGCTGATCAAAGTGAAGGTGAGGCGGGAAAACACCGGCGGAGGGAGCCGCGAACGGGCCCATCCAAGTGCGCTGAGGCACGGCATCCCTGACAGCGGCGGCCGCGGTGCATTATGGGTGGCTCTGAGGCGCCCGCTGCTTTTTCTGCCTCAGCCGGCACGCTCCATGCCGTGACGGGCGGCCTTCCTTAGCGCCGGGCTGGTTGGTGGAGCCCTCATACCTAAGGCGTGGGTTGTGTCAAGGAACACAATCCCCACGAAAAGGCACCGCGACCCCAGTGATTTAGCCTCCTTCGGTCGAAGCCCCAGGAGATTTAGGATATTTCTCAGAAAAAGATCCACTAATTGGACGACCCAACGTAAATTAGTCACTGATCTACAACGTTAGTGCAGGTAGCCCTCGGCTTACGACGGCAGCGGGACCCGTTGCTAAGTGAGCCGGTTGTGCAGCGAGTTAATTTTTCGCCGACTTTTGGCTCCCTTTGGGGACTTTTCTCGCCCCGGTTGTTAAGCGAACCCCAGCAGCGTCGTTAAGTAAGTGGCTTTTGCCACATTTTTAGGACTTTGCCTGCCCTATTTCCAAAGTGAACCGCTGCCGTTGCTAAGCCACATGGTTGTTAAGCGAATCCGGCTTCCCCCTGGACTTTACTTGCCGGAAGGTCGCAAAAGGGGGGGGGGGGATCACATGACACACACACACACACCCCGGGCATTGTGACTGTCGTAAATAGGAGCCGGTTGCCCATCGCCTGAATTTTGATCACGTGACCACTGTAGATGCTGCAACGGTCGTAAGTGTGAAAAGCGGTCATAAGCCAACTTTGAATGGTCACTAAATGAACGGTTGTAAGCCAAGGACTGCCTGTAACCAGACGGTTGCCCAAAGGGCTTCAGATTTTGTGCCTTGGGAAAAGTTGCAAGGGAAGAAGCAGGCATAAATAAATCATCACCTACGGTAGAAATTCAGTGTGTGGGGCGTGAAGGATGTGTGTTTATTTTCATGGTCATGATGTGCGCTAAAGATGGTGTTTGATTTCGTTGTTGTACGAGGTGCAATGACAAGTAAACTAAACTAAACTAAAGTGGAGCATAATAATTGACAACAACAATATAATAGTAGTAATAATAATAATAATAGTTGTAGTTCATTTACCATGAAAATAAAAACGAGTCTTATATTTTGGGGGGCTCCAAAATAAGCAACAGGGCTTATTTTTAGGGGATGTCTTTTTTTCCCATGTACAGGAGGCAGCGAGTGTAGGGGCCGACGGGAGTGGGAGCGCTGCTACCGCTGGGCTGGTTCTCTCCATGCGCTCGTCACCTCATGTGCTGGCCATGCCTACCACCTGGGCTGATGATGACCTTCACTAGGTCTTATTTTTCGGGTAGGGCTTATGTTAGGCTCCCTTAAAAATCTGGCAAGGGCTTATTTTCAGGATAGATCTTATTTTGGGGGGAAACATGGTAATAATAATAATAGTACATTTTAAGAAGATACTTGGTTGATACCCAGAATGCTGGCAGCATCCCGTATCAACCATCAGAGCCAGTCAATAATATTTGTGATACATTTTAAAATGTTTAGTTGACTGAGTTTCATGTTTAATGAATAAAAGTTTATAATAGTAATAATAATCCAGGGTCAAAGAAAAAGAACTGAAAAAAAATTTCATGAAATATTGCGACCTGGCCATCAAAACTACATGATTATGGATGAAACGTGTAACAGTGGTATCGAAGAATTTTATAAAATACATCAAGAAATTGCAGTTTCCTTCAATAACACCTGCAGAGGTTCAAAAAACTGTGCTACTTGGAACATAGTACATTTTAAGAAGATACTTGGTTGATATCTAGGATGCTGGCAGCAACCCATATCAACCATCAGAGCCAGTCAGTAGTATTTGTGATACATTTTATCACAAATATCACAAAATACAAAGACCTACAAATAGAAATAGAACAACTATGGCAAAGGCAAGCAAGGGTAGTACTAATAGTAATAGGATTCTGGGTGCAGTCCCAAAACAACTGGAGCACTGTTTGAACACCATAGGCATTGACAAATTTGCCATCGGTCAATTGCAGAAGGCAGCTTTACTTGGAACAGCTTCCATCCTGCAGCAATATCTGTAACACCATCAAACATCCAGATTTGCCTACCCCAGGTCCTTGGTAAGGACTCAATAGGTAGACAAAAATGCCAAACCCAGTCTGAACATCTGGCTGACTGTGCGATGAGTAATAACAATAATAAAAATAAAAACAATAATATATTTGCCAACTGGCATGGGATAAAGTGGGGTCACATTTTGGAGGTGGCTAAGTAGTTTAGTGCAAGATCTCACTTCCACGCTGTGTACACATTGTTTTCTCTTGATTATTAATCTTAATGTTTGATGTTTTAATGTTTTAATCCTATAATTGTTTTATTCTGTTATTTATGGTATTGTGAGTCACTTGATGGAAATGGGTGGCATTCAAATTTAATAAATAATGTAACAATTGACGGTAATGACCAAAAAAAGTCTGGATAGTAGACATGGCAGCACTTGCAGGCAGCAGGAGAGAAGAGAAAGAACTGTAGAAAGTAACAAAATACAAAGACCTAGAAAGAGAATGACTGTGGCAAAAGAAAGCAAAGGTAGGACCAATAATGCTAGCCACTTTGGGTGCAATCCCAAAAACATCTGGAACACCTCTTGAACGCCATTCGGCATTGACAAAAATCCCCATCGGTCAATTGTAAAAGGCAGCTTTACTCCGAATAGCTTACATCCTGTGACAATACCTTTAACGCCATCAAATATCAGCATCCAATACTTGAGGGAGGAGGGGGAAAAGCTGTTTTCCAAGGCACCCGACGGCCAGACAAGGAACATTTGGCTGACGGTGCAACCAACTAAAATAATCATACATTGTAATATCTCATTCTCATATACGTTTGCATATAAATTGCTTTAAGGTCTTTGTTTTATTTATCAAATTGTATTTGCTATCCATCTCATGGGTCAGGTGACTCTGAGTGGCTTGTTTCCTGGTTTATCAACTAAAACAGATTGTTGGGCTACAAACCAACTACTGTTCATCCATCAGACACTCTTATCCTTTAGAACAGGGGTCCTCAACCACCGGGCCGCGGACCGGTACCGGGCCGCGGAGCACTCTCTACCGGGCCGCAAAGAATTTTTTTTTAAAAAAATGGCGGCTTTCTTCACCTTCGGTGAATGCTGCTGGGATCGGGGATCAAGGACACAAATGAAAGAAGGGGAGGGAGGAAGCAACCGAAGCCTGTCCTTCTCTCTGGGTCAGCTCTCTCAGTCGCTCTCTCGCTCCTCCACCAGCACAGGAAGAAACTGCTTCAAAGAAGCCGGGGGGGGGGGGG